ATTCTGTGAAAACGGATTTCTATGATAAACAATTGGCAAGAAAGTTGCTTCTCAAAAACTGTGGTTAGTTATATTGTATTCTGATATATGTTTATGCGTTCATCATATGCAAAGTTGCAGAAGTTTCCTCCTCTAATACCATGTCGCACGCCTTTTTGTGACCATGTATTTTATCAATAGTATCCTGACAAGATAATAGTTCCTTCAAAGCAGAACGTAATTAATATTTTACCAAACTAAATTATAGATGGCGTCATTGAATAAGACTTACTAGCCCCTCGTATCACGCGGACAAAAAAACCCACGCGGAGATGGGGGGACGCTACTACAATTTTTTTATCAAGGTCCGGCATGTGGACGAAAAAACCCACGGGGTGGGCACTACAACTATTTTTTTTTCTGGGGTCAAGGCTTGCTATATGCAAAGAGTCGATTATCACAACAGATTATGGTCACTACATATTAAATGAATAAGCTACTATGAATCTAAGAGTCTGATAATTGTGATGGAGGTGCTATTTAAGAAAATTTTACTTTAGTCAGAGAACGGCTTATAAATAAGCATATCAGCGTTTGCGTTCATTTATTTTACCATGATCCACAGCTCTTCTTCGCCCTAGTCTTCTATGCGGGTAATCGACCAAGGGCGGCAGGAAGGTGACATAGGCATCTCTATTTAAGAAGAGAAAGCACTTGATTTAAAAAGAAATACAAAATCAATAATTTAACTTCTTTATTGTTCTTTGTTGAGGATGATGATGTTGTATGTCAGATCGGAATTTATGTCAATTCCGAAGCAACATATGTCAGTGATCGTGTATTATTATTATTAATAAAAGGATTAATTAAAAGACCTAGTCACGTAATTTTCGATAAGTCGGTTTTCTCGATAAGTCGGCCATTAGAGGTCAAATCAAGTTGGCCGACTTATCAAGACTGACTGTGTGTTTATTTCTTTTCCCAAAGTTAATACTAGTAAATGTTAAACAAACAGTACAGTAACAGGTCTGTATCTGTCATTGCCACTACTACTACTCAATCCTGAATATGTAATAGTAATTGAAACGGCTGATTATGATGACAATTTGGTTGATGTATTAGTATGATGAAGATGAAGTGAAAGTAGTGGAAATAATAATTATATATTTCCACTTAGTCTCAGTTATTTCCACTCAGGATGATGACAGTGTAAGTGGCCAATTTTTGTCATCAGTATTATAATTTGAATTTCTGGTATTAATTGATGTCAGTTTTCTGAATGCATCATATTTCAAAAATTTCAAATGAGAATTTTTTTCCAAACCTGACAGAAAGTTCTGATAATAAATAGATTTGTAAGTTATTTCTTCTGGTAAAAATAATAACTGATTGTGTTATTCTATTAACACTTCTGCCTGGGCTTGGCAAACCATGTATTTCAGCATAATTTTCTAAAAATTTTCACAGCAGTGGCAACATTGTGATAATTACCATCTTGGTTTAGTATTAGTTTTCATTGAGGCATTCTTTTGGTATTGCCATAAAGTCTTGAAATTAAACCATTTATAATTAAATGGTTTCTGATATTTTCAAAGTAAGTTCCGCCAATGCCTAACATATTAAAATAAGTTTCTTGACATAAAGGTGTATTGTGATTCCATCACATCTGATTTTTTTTTTTCAGACGTCTGCTGGCACTAATTGATCCACCATCCATTGCTTTAATTTGTGCCATTAGAAATGCATCTTGTTCTGATCTTGACAGACCTTCACACAGTTCAGCAAAACTTTCCTTTGGAACTTTGGCTGAACAACCACACAGACAACCTGTTTTCAAGAATTCGATTGCTTTTTGGTATTCAGTTATCATAACCATATAATATATTTTACATGTTCAGTCTGTCTTGTTCCAAGCGGCACTATATACGATCATGATATTATCAATAAAATGCGATTCTTCCAACTCTTCGCGAATTTGACTACTGAAAGAACTTGATCTCTTTGGTTATTCCGTTATTAAACTGATGGATTGTAAACTATTTTAATGATAATAGATCGATTTTCGATCGACTATGCTTCTAGCTAGCGAAACTACAACCGCTTATATTCTCATTGTTTTATCAGCAGATTATATGACTACTAATCAAAATCGGAGAGATTGCGAGCATGTAATTATCAGAAGCTGCGTCCTCGCTCACGTTACTCTATTACAGATTTCTGGTAAATATAATTTGTAAATGATAATAAAATTACACATAATAATAGTAATTGATATTTTATATTCAATTATTAAAGTGACCTTAGTATAAAAAGAGGAGAGCTATTGTTCTTTTATTGATTCAGATGATAAGCCCCACGCGTATAATTTTAAAGTGACCATTGCAATTTTTAACCAGTGAAAATTTTTTTACTGCGTGTATTCCGGAATGTCACATTGATGCTATTGTGAGACGTCATGATCTGTTACACTAAGCAATATCAATACCCGTTTATGGCTGACAGCTCAGACCTCCTTGATAGGTAACAACATTTATACTTATAAGGTTAATATCATCTAACGCGATACATAAATACACTCTTCCTCTCAACACAAACGATATCTGCTATACAACGAGCCGTCAATCCGCGTACGTTGCATTTTTATTATGGGTAACTAACTTTAAAAACTTGACTTGTATAATGAATAAACGGGAGTTTATATTTATTTTATATTTATATTAAATGATGTCGATTTATAGTTCTAGGCCATTTCGTGTTGTTGAGATTAATTTACAAATACATCTGCCAATTTCATTCCAGATGATGCACTGGACAACAGTTCTCGAAAATCAAACTCGAAAAAGAAACCCGTTGAAGAGCAAGAAATTGCAGACAAACAACGTGCAGAACTAGAACTGCTCATGGACGATAGTGCGGATGGAAATAAGCATTTTGATCTCAAGGAGATTATTAAGGCTGAGAAGAAAAAGAGAAAGCGTAAGAAAAGAAATAATGAGAAGGAAGCCGACGAAGATAACTTTGAAATTAACGCCAATGATCCGAGATTTGCTGCTTTACTCGAGAACCATCATTTTGCGATAGATCCTACAAATCCTCAGTAAGTAACGGGAATGTATGATAAATATGGCGATATAATTAAAAATAACCACACCTTATTTGTAGTTTTAAGAAGACTAAAGCTATGCAAAAGTTACTGGAAGAACGGCAGCGGCGACAGGTTCTTGCCGATAGTGAGGAGATACGAGATCAAGTAAGAGTCATGGGGTCGTGATAATTATTATTTAGATTAGATGACTAAGCATTTTTCTTCGGTGGTTAGGAATCTTGGAATACTTCTTCCAACACATTTAAAGACGCTAGCCTGTCATCTTTAGTGAATTCTGTAAAACGAAAAACGGCAGTCATTTCAGAGAAAAATCGTCGCGGTAAAAGAAATAAGTTTGGATAAACCAATCACCGATCAAATTTTGAGAACTCGTGATGTGTTATATAGCTAAGCCTGAATTTTTAATCGATTAAAGATTATTCCTATTCATGACAGAAAACAGTAATAATAGGTTCAATGTCTTCTTAATTGAGTGTTTGTGGTAATAATAGAGAAAGTATTATAGTAAATAAAGTTCCCGATAACGTAGTAGTAGTAGTAGTATATTTCGGTTGTTAATGGATATAGATATTAAATCAAATAATACAAAAATAGGACATCTTGTGATATTAAAAATACAAATATCATTCAATGGACTGATGGATAATAGTAATAAAAAGAATAATTTACATCCATTGCCCGCACAAACATATGATACAAAAAAGTTATAGATAGTAAAGAATGAAGTAAAAGTATACTAATTTACAAAGAAACAGTTATTCAGAGAAAACGGATGATCGATCGAGTCGTGATTTCATTTTCTCAACTTCACGTTCAAGTCTAAAAAAACCAGTGAAGATCTTAACAAGCATTATAATAATAATAAATACAAATTGCATAACATGTGTGTAAAGCTACCTGAGTGACCGTTCACGAGACTCGTTTGCTTCACGTGTAGCACGTCTATGTCCAAGTTGTAACGTGCTTTCTGAATTTTGCTAAGAGTAAAAGAGATCAATTTTAATCCGTATTCACACATATCCATCGGAGAGTATTACATATCTATTAGCAATAACTTACAAGCTCTTCAATGTTTTGTCTCATTCTTGCCACTTTCTGCTCGTACTTTGTAATATCGTCTTCATATCGTAATTTAAGTTTATCTTTTTCAGATAATTGCCATTGTAATTCTCTAATTGTCCTTTCAGTCTTACGTAGCGATTTCAACGCTTCATTTTTTTCCCTCATTTCTTGTTCAAGTTGGGATGATAATTCTTCTAGACGCGATTCTAGACGTTTGACTCCACGCGGCGTAGCTGAAGCTTTTGTTTCAAGATCGAGGACACGGAGGTTAAGTTCCGTAACTTGCTTTTCAAGAGCAGTCTTTTTAACGAATAAAAAAAAATCAGAAGGACGTTATAAAAGAGAAAACGCAAACATAGCATATTTAGTATTCTAACCTTAACTTTCAACAAGTCTTGATTATCTTCTTTTTCTCTAGCTAGCTCTGCTTGTAATTCAACCGATCGCAACTCAGCCTTTCTCAGCTTTTCATTAATCGTAACGACAACATCTTGTTGCTCATCCAGTAGTTGTCTAAGTTCATTTCTCTCCACATCCAACACACTAATACTCCTTACTGCTGCTTGCCTATCTTGAGTCTCATTCTGATATTGATCGTCTATATCCTCCAATCTCATTTCCAAAACTCTCTTTGCTCTTTCTAATTGAATCTTTTCTGACTCAGCCTCATCCAACGCAAGGCGAAGTTCACGAACTTCAGTAAGAAGATTATTCGCCTGAGATTGGAGCTCATCATGAGAACTCATTGCATCATTATACAATTGCGCTAGATCGGCTACTTTGTTTTCCAACATTTCCTTTTCCCGTTTCCATGTCATCACCACATGAGATTCCTCTTCGGCTTCTGTGAGAAGATTGTCCACCTTCTTTTGAAGCAGTTTGTTCTCTTCGCGAATTCTAGCCAAATTATTGCGTTCCAGCTCAACTTCATTTGCAAGCCGTTCAAGTTCTTTCTGGTATTTACGGCGCGTTTGTTCAAGAGCATATTCTTGTTCTTCGATATCACGCTTATATCGCTCACGCTCATCGGCAAAATCATTTTGAAGACGCTTTTGTAAAAGTTCAAAATCGGCAAAAACAGCGGCATCATCGTCTATCTTAATTTCAAGTTCTGCAACCCGGTCTTCTAAAGTTTTAACACGAATTTCGGCATTCTTGCGATCATTGATGGCATCTGCAAGAGAATCTTCAAGTTCTTTAATCTGAAGTCTGAGAAACTCTTCGTTTTTTTCGGCTTTCAATCTTTCTAAATTCGCATTCTCAAGTCTTGACATAGTCCCATCAGCTCTTGACTTGTAAGACACTAAATTCTCGTTTGCTTTGGCAACTTTAAGTTGTTCTGCTTCATACTTCAATTGTAGTTCTTGCAGTTCTGTGGCCAATCTCTTTCTTGCAGCTACTTCTTCTTGTTTGTGTGCCAGTTCACTTTCTAATCTTGCCTTGACCTCCGCAAGTTGCACCTGTAATGATTTTCTTTCTCTTTCCAGCCCAGATACATCTTTCTTCCTCCTCTCATCTTGCAATAACTTATTCTCTGCTTGCAATTGTTGAACTAATACTTCCAACACTTGCCTTTTTTCAATTTCATTTTTCAGATTGTATTCAAGCTCCCGTATATTATCGTCCTTTTCCTTGAGCTTAGCATCCATCATAGTAACGTTAAGCATAGGTTTGCTTTTTGAATACAGTTTCCACCAAGGCCATTCTTTGAGCTGCATGTAAACACGAGCATTTTTTTGAATAAGTTTTATTGCATCAAGCTTTTCAGAAAGCTTGGCATAATCGCGCCGAGCAAGGCGTCCGCGACAGTGAGCTTGGAAACGTGTAAACAATTGAGAAAGTTTCGTTTCTCGTATTTCCTCTAATTCGGCCAGCTAGTGAATTGAAGATTACGTTAGTAATTCGCATAAATTAAATTCGAAATGCGTATTTGTAACTTACCACACCAGCTCTGAAGAACACTTTAGTATTACCGATTCTATACAGTGAATTGTCCAGTCCAAACGAGTTCAACAACTCCTCTGCTACTTTGCGATCGTCGGCAGTGCTATGGGACAGTAAGCCAGGAGATAATACTTCGTAACGCTGTCGGAATTCGATAAATGTCAATCTATTTGGAAATCCGGCTCGGCATATTCTGATTCCTTCCAATACACCATTGCACCTCAATTGATCCAACACCAATGGTACTTCTATCAATCCGGCAGCTTTTTCTCCGTTCGGCACTATACATCTTACGAAACGGGGCTTGGTCGAATACAACTGCTGCATAAGAACGTGTAATTGCTCTTTATGTCTTTGACCAACCGTCCTTAAAAATTGCTTCTTGGATCTGCTCTTGGCACCCATATCTACGGCGTCTGGTGATGGAGAAGCAAACAGAGTAGAGATATATGGTTCGGTTGATTGTGCTAACAGTCTGGAGACGTTTTCATTCAATGGATCTTTGTTCTTGTCAAGCCATCCAGTTGTGCAGTATTCTACTTTAGCAGCATAATGTTGGAGCACAAATCCCTCTGTAAAACGACGACTAGAGTATTTGGGTGATTTGCCGTTCCACAAATTATTTAGTTTATCCATGAAAGTCTTGTCTGTAGCTTTTGGCATGACACATTCTTCGTCCAGACAAGAAAGAATACCAACAGGCTTATATCAAAAACAAAGAATGTATTTAAATGTGATCAATCGCAGAAAAGCAGACAAGAAAGGTAAAGACTAAAAAGGCTACAAAAATTCACTCACATTTGTTTTTTCAATCAGGTCGATCGTTGGCTGTAAATCCATGCCAAAATCAATAAATTTCCAGTTGATATTCTCAGTTTTGTATTCTTCTTGTTCAAGAACGAACATATTATGATTGAAGAATTGCTGCAGTTTCTCGTTAGTATAGTTGATGCACAGCTGCTCAAAGCTGTTATCCTATTTACATACAATTTAATTGAGTCAGTGTCATAAAAATCAGTCCATGTATTCACACATTCAAAACTTACTTCGAAGATTTCAAATCCAGCAATATCAAGAACTCCAATGAAAGTCTCTTTCTGAGTCGGACGATCAGTAGTCTGGTTAATGCGGTCAACAATAGCACTAAAGTTTCTCTCATACAATGCTTTAGCAAGCGCATCAATTGAGTATATGACTTGTTCTTTAGTTCGTGCTTGAGCCACCCATTCTCGACCAGCCTTCACATGTGGTTTAAGCAAACTTTTAACAAAATCATCGACCGGAATGCCGAGAATATTACAGACCTTCTCGGCGATTGATTTGTCGGTTATGTAAGCTTGGTTATCCCGTGACCCTGTTACTTGAATGTTGCCGAGATGGAGGACTGCAGCCACAACTCGGAATAGATCGAGTTGTTCCTGTTTAGTAAAACCAACTACATCCATGGCTCCCTAAAAAAATTGTACGGTAGTTAAGTAAGAATAAATAGTATACATTGTTAGGTGGAGCTCATGAACTGGCTAGATTCATACCGTTAACGCGTTAAATTCAACCACATCATCAACACCATCAATGTCCTTTCTCGAAGTCTTTGTATAACGATAATCATCAAGTGTGCCATCCAACAATAAATAAGCCTTTATTTCGGAAGGAGCACCTTTCATCAATTGATAAAAAATATGATAGTTTCGCTCATGAGGAGTTTGTGAGGTTACACGAGACTTCTCCAGCAGATAACGCTCAATGTTGGCTCCTGCAATTTGACCTCGCGAATTAAACTCGATGCGAATAAACTTGCCAAAACGCGAAGAATTATTGTTTCGTATAGTCTGAGCATTTCCAAAGGCTTCCAATATTGGATTTGCTTGAAGAATTTGCTGTTCAAGTTGTCCAAGCTGCGACGTGTTGGCCTTGTCGCAGGCAATTGCTGCAAGATATTGAATGACTTTCTTGGTGTTTTCAGTCTTCCCAGCGCCAGACTCACCACTGAAATCAGAATACACAATGGTTGATTGTAAATTATTGTTACGGTCATTGACATTGAATGGATATAATAATTAGAGGCAAACTTACGTGATCAGTATTGACTGGTTCTCTTGTTGTATGAGCATATCATGATACGCCTCATCAGCAACCGCATATATGTGAGGAGGGATTTCGTTACGTCGTTTTGCTTTGTATGCTCGAACAATTTTGTCAGAGTAGATCGGAAGGTTTTGGTATGGGTTCACTGCAACGAGGAAAAGTCCCGAGTATGTCTGCACATACGAACGACCGCATCCAGCACAATAACCGTATAATTAGTTTCAGGATGAGACAAACAAAGTGACATATGAATGACTTGCTGCACTACTTACGTAGATCAGGTTCGACTGATATCGTTGTCTGAGATTATGTATGACAGACG